TCTTAATTTTGATTAGCTAAGAGCGACGATCAAAAAATTAGGCCGTAATAACTCATAATTTTACTAATGAAATCGCAATCGCCCATTAAGTGAAAATTGTCCCTGGGCCAATTTTACCATAACGCGGGCTTATTTTTTAAAAATTTCTATTTTTGTAAAGAAAAATTAAAAAGTAAATTCCGGCTGGAAATTAGTAAATAATTATGTAATGCGGGCCAAAATTTCGAAGATCCTCGACCCTGTTAGCCAATCAAATTCGAGGATCTGCCATGACAATTTTGTTGAGGCTGCCACAAGTTGAATCAATGAATAACGGGTACATATCGGGAGACAAATCTCCAGAAATAATCGGTAGCATAATTAATAGGTTAGATATCGGGAGGTAGATCAATAACGGTAACATGACAATAACATGCCGGGACATCCCGGTATCTCACTCTTAGCATTATTTGGACTAAGTGTAAGATACCGGGATGTCCCGGTATGTTACTGTTATGTTACTGTTATCGATATACCTCCCGATATGCTACAGTTATTTCATTGATTCAACCTGTGTGCTATGGTTAATATAAAAAAAACCCTAACTTTTTTTAAACTTTGAGTGAAGATATCTCTACACCCACCAAGCCAAATTCGAAGAACTTTTTTTTTTGAATTCTACAGATTCGTAGAATTCGTGTAACTTACGCGTTGCATGATCGATCATCATGTAATATAAATAGAACAATGGTCTTTAGTAATTAGATAGGATAGATTAGAGAGACGAATAGAATAGTCTTTAATAATAAAGAAATCTCTAAACTATAAACTGCATATCACTTTGTACGTGGTATTTGGGTGGTGGTAGTATCTGGTACAATACTCCGGTCATCGTGTAATTAGCCAAGCGAGTTAAAGACTGTTAGTAAAAGTCTATAAATACACGGTAGTTTAGGTAACACTTGTGATACAAGAACCCGAGCAAGACAAAGGTCTACTTGTAAAATCTTGTTGAAGTTTGTTGTATTTTGCTAAGTGCAAAAGCTCGAAGATTGCACCTTTGCAATTGGTGAATTCAAACCTTGGTGGCAAATTGAAGTTGTTTAATGGAATTAGAGTTAAGAATGAAAAATACGAATTACCTGGTGATGTTGGTGAAGAATGTTGTGGAAACTGTGGTACAAGAAGTAATGAAAAGCTTAAAGACTTTTCAAGGTAAACGAAAAAAGCGTATGTCATGTTTGTATTATGTGTGTCAACATAAAGGGCACTTGGCTTGTTCGTGTCTGTTTATAAAAGATCGAGGTCATGATCAAAGTATAAATAATAAGTGGATGGAAGTTCGTCATGTAGAAAGATAGTGAAGGTTTGAAACATGGGGGAAGTGTTAAAATGGGTCAAAATGGTGATGGTAAAAATAAGAATACTACAGTCTGGGGATATAGTAAATTTGAAGATCGGGTTCTAGAAGGATCTACAAACAGGTTCATGTATTTGATTGGTTGTCATACTTCTTTTTTATGCATGTATTCAGGCTAGGGTTTTGTTAAATTTCATATATTTATTTATTACTAAATGATATAAGAGTAGATAGTAAAAGCGACAAACTTCAACAATTCCAAATAATCCCGCAAAGTAAGTTGTCTACAAAAAGGTAAATAAGATCATAAATTTATGATTGTTTCTATATATTATTAAGTGAAAAAAAATGAAAAAAAACAAATTTTTGCTAGTGTACTAATCATTGGGGCAAACATAAAACAATAGGAACGAATATAGTGTAGTTGAAACGATATGGTGTAGTTAGAACAAACATGGTGTAGTTAGAATGAATGTTGTGTAGTTAGAGTTAGAATGAACATAGTGTAGTTGGAACAAATGTAGTGTAGTTGAAACAAACATAGTGTAGTTGGAACAAACATAGTGTAGTTGAAAAAACATAGTGTAGTTAGAACAAACATAGTATAGTTGAACAAATATAGTGTAGTTGGAACAAACGTAGTGTAGTTGGAACAAATGTAGTGTACTTGAAATAAACATAGTATAGTTGGAACAAACGTAGTGTAGTTGAAACAAACATAGTGTAGTTGGAATGAACGTAGTATAATAGTTTGGATAAGCATAATAGTTGGACAAATATAGTACAATATGAATGTAAAAATACTAGGTAATTTAGAATGAAAATAGCACAAAGGTTGATAAATTTAGGACAAGAGTTAGATAGATTCAGGATGCAGTATAAGAGTTTGGTATATTTGTTATATAGCACAAAAATTTGAAATATAGCACGAAAACTAGGTTAGTGTTTGATTTTTAAGATTGTAATTTTAAAATTAATGGCAGATAAATAAAAAATAAAATTAATTTAAAAAAGCAAATTAAAATTATACTGTAGTTATATTAAAATTAATAAATAAAAAATAAAAAAATGAAATAAAAAAATTTTTTACTTGATAGCCAATCTTTAATTTGATTTGTCAAAAATCATTCTTGGATTATGCTTTAGAAATTTCCAGAATTGATTAAGCAATAATCTATTTCTATAAAAGGTGTGATTATTACTATCCATTTATGGTATATTCCCAAACTGTAATAGAACATTGTTAAGAATACTGGCTTTATATATTATATCAGTATTATAAGAGTAAAACTAGTCACATATACAACTTTTGATTATCTAATTTAAGCAGTTTGCCCAGAGTGTTAGTACTATGCTAAGAGTTCTACACTAGATAGCCTAACAAGAAAGCTATTTATTTAAACTCTCTGGCTTTACTGATATTATATATTTATTCTTAATATAACCTTTTACAAGGTAATTTGCTGCTTAAAACCCTAAGATTTTAGCTATTAACCTAATTTAAAAGGCAATTTATTTTTATAGTATATCTAATAAAATGATATATGTCTCATATATATATTCACCTGCATGTTTAGTAACTTCTTTCTAATTAGTACCTGCTGTGCTGCTGTATCAAATTTGTATCTCAAGCCAATTTTGGGGTGCTACCATAACCTGGTTTATATCTCAAGCCACAACCTTTCTAATTAGTTGTCTGTTACTTTACTCTTGCCTTTATAAGATTTATAACAACCCTGATATCCACATTTTAACTATTTTTTTACTCAAATTCTTTATTGATCTCTTCTTTACTTCCAGCTAGCAACTTAGAAAAGTTATCTACCCAGGCTTTAGGTACTTCACAGTCACTTTTCTTTTGGTCTATACTTTTGGAACATATGTTCTTTTTCTCTAGTGCAACAACTTGGTGATTTAGCTAGTGTGCTATCCACTATTATTAGGATCTGGTCACTCAGTTTTCTAATCTCAGGCTCTAGTTTAATTTCATCCTTTCTGTAGTACTGTTAAAGATTACTGCAACTCCCAACTAGGACTTTTTAATAGATTTTTAGTTATTCCAGTTTCTTGAATTTATTGTGCCAAAGCTCTCATTACTAGATAGTGTGACTAAAATTGCAAATTTAGTTCTAGATCCAACTAGCAACCAATAATCATCAAGCATATACAGGCCTATTTTCAAAATTGTTATTTGTAGAATTCAAACTCTAGATTTGTCTCTTGGAGAAAGTGACCACTAGACCACTACACTAAGTTACTACACCTTTTAATAAATTTGCTAAATATTAAAAAAAACAATTTTTTTATAAAATTAACAAATTTAAAAATTTTAACCAAACTGTTTTTCTATCTCTAATCAATCTCTTTAATATATTTATACAGTTATATACTTAGCTTCAACTATTATTAATAATACAATCCACTTCAACTTTACTCCTTTTTTTTTTTAAGAGAATTTCTAATTTTACCTGGAGAGAAATTACCTGGGAGAAATTACCTGAAGGTGCTATATCTCAAAAACATATTAAGTAAATCAGATCGGGTTCTCTAAGTAAAAATGTTCAAAACCTCCAAAAACTTCATGAAAACTAAAATTGGGCCCTATTGGGCCCTTATAATAGCTCTATATTATTTTATATAAAAAAAATAATTCTCTAATTTCTAACGCTAACCCTAAAAATAATTAGGGAAGGAGATTCCCTCCAAGTAAGCATAGTTATTTTCTTTTTTTAATACATACTTTTTTTTAGCCTTAAACTTTTATTTATTTTTAAAGTGCTTTTGATATTTATAAAGTTAATCTTTAGAGTATATTTGGTGACAGTAAACTATCTCGAACAATATATATATCATTCATAACCTAAACAAGAAGTTTCACAATTGTAAGCCTAACATAACCTGGCTGTGATAAATATACCTACATGCGACTTGTCACAGCAACCTGTATACAAGTTAGATAAACTTTGTTAGCCTATCAATACTTTTCTCTTATATCTTCTTTCTTTACTAAGAGCAAAAGAAAGTGATGATTTTATATCTAATACAAAAACACTAATAATACCAAGAAAACAAAACACAAACCTAACTAGAAAACAAATAGAATGATGGAAAATTTTTAAAGAAAAAATAAATAAAAGCACAATAAAATGTAAAAAGAAAAACTAAGAGAAAAGCCCAAGAGTTAACAAAGTTGGGAACTATCTTTATCAAAAAATAGTACAAATAGAACAAAAAAAAAGAAAAATACCCTATTATAACCCATGCAGATTTGAAAAAAATTTTATAACAATTGCAATGTTTGTATATCTCAACTATAAAGCAAAATACTATATAATTACTAACTATTTCTGAATGTCTCTTATGCCAAAGACCCAATTCTAGTTATGTGGAGGACCCTGTATTCACAGATTATATTGCATATTGTATCTACCAATAAACAAGGCACATGGTTGCATTTCTGGGTATATCCAAATTTGGGAGATAAATAATGCTGATCTTTTGGAAGAAGTAAACCAAATTACCTACTTTTTGTCAAAAATTTTGAAGAAAACTGGCTAAGTGAAAAACACCTAGAGAGAGACCACTTACATACAAGAAAAGTAGTTATATCTAAGAAAAAACTCAACAACTTCTAAATCTTCTTCTAGAAAAGAGGTGAAGCATCTATGCATTACTTTTCAGTAAGTGATAAACTCTAAACTTGTCAACAAATAGTATATGAAAACTACTTCTAAACGGCAAGTGCCATGTATACAGTAAGTAATAAACTCTAAAGAAGTTAGCATGTAGTATATAAGAACTACCTCTAAATAACAACTGCTGACTTATCACTGCTAGTATACCCTCTATTTTTACTATAGTCAACTTCCTCTAAATGCAACTCCTCTAAGTGCAACTTCTCTCTAAATACAATTAAATAGTCTGGTACTATGTTGGGACTTATAATATAAATGCAAGTTCTTTATTATCTAAGTGCAAGCTATTTTATGGCCCAAACATATTAATATCTCTCTATATATGCAAGTCACCTGACTTTTAGCCAATCATGTTATGTACATTATAGCATTTTATGATTTGGTATAATTTGTACAAATGAGATCATACTATCATACAAACTCTTATGATTATAAATTTTTTTCTTGTTATTTCTTGTATATTATTATATAAGTACAACAATCTTGATTTGAAACCCAGTTAGCCAATAATGGTCTGTAAACCAAGATCATAATGAAACTAAACACCAAAAAATGAAACCTTTACTAAAAGTTAGACCCAAATTCTTTCGACGAAATATGAAACCTTAAATTTAAAAAGACAAAATCTTAAACTTAAAAATATGAAATCTTGATGCTTCTGATAAAAAAAAAAACTAAAAAAAGAAATCAAATATTACTTTTCTTGAATTAATATTTATAATTCATTTAGAAATCTATCTGAAATTATGTGTATGCCATCAAAATAAACTAGTATATTTTTTTCTAAACAATGATTAGGCTGTTATAAACCAGTTGAAATAACCTTGTCAAAAGTACAGTATTTATAAAATAATACAGATAATGAATTAAAACATACTAGCACAAAATAATTTAGTAAGATTACAAAATAATACCAAGCGATTTTTCAGATCATTCCCATATTCATATTAGCTTAGAAATAATTTCTGCATTTTAGTCTAACTGGATTGTTTCTTGCTTCACCTAATAACTTTACTATATATACATATATATGTATATTATATTAATATCAATATCTGATATGCAATCAAGGTATATTGATTTGCTATATATACCAAAATTGACCAATCATAAGCATAAATATGTATCATGTGCTAAAATGGTTGATTTTGAATATTTTTCTCTAAATGCAACTTCTCTCTATATGCAAGGCAATCTATCGGTCCTGACGAGTTGCACTTAGAGAGAGTTACTGTATATGTTATTGTATTTTTACAAAAAAATATGTTTAGATTTTTGGTACAGATGATTGTTAAAAAGAGTTAAACATTTTTTATAATAGTTAGGAAATATACCATAAATGTACAGTGCTAATCACACTATTTATAGTAATAGAATAGTTCCAAAAATTTCTTTATATCAATCCAAGAATAATCACTAACCAATCAAATCAACTGAATAGAAAAAAACTTTGTTATTATGCAAACTAGAATATTCCAAATCTTATTTACTTTTTTAATAGTTTATTTACTTTTTTAACAAGTTAACTAAAGTGGATTATTGTGGATTATTTAAACTACATGTTTTCTACTATCTATTAATGATTTATTTAGAAGTTTTAAGCAATAAATAAAATGTATAAAAAATTTCTTGGCAAGAAGTCGTACAAAGCCAATCAAATCTGTGCAGATTATTCTAGAACCGGATTTTCTAATTTGCTCTAATTTGGTATATTCCCTGACTGTATAATAGCTTTAGAATATTACTTTACAAAAACCTGTTTTTTTACTAAATATATTTTTTAAAACAATGATTTAACTTAACTTTAAATACAAATATGTGTTGCCAAAATAGCATGAAAGTTCTGTAACTAGAATTTTTATAGCAAATTATAATAAGTTTATTGCAAACTATTTCAATTTTAACTACACATAGTGTATTACCAAAATGATAAGTGAATTCTAAAACAAAATTTTTTATAGTAGCTTATTATAAAAATTATGATAATTTCAATATAACTAATTCAACTTTAATTATGCAAGTTACTGAAATAAATTTTTTTACAAAAATTTCTAGTAAAAACACATAGTGTGTTATCAGAATGGCAAGTCAATTCTGAGACAGAATTTTTTTTTTAATAACTCATGATAAAAATTTCGATAATCTCAATACAAATTCAATTATATACAGTAAAACCTCTATAAATGCTCTTAAACTGAACTTTAACAATATGCATTTAGAGAATAATAAGAAAAGTGTATTTATAATGGTCATGCATATATTTGGGCCTGAGACTGGGCATATATTTAGAGAGGATATGTATTTATAGAGGGTGTATTTATAGAGGTTTTGCTTTACTAGAATAGTGAGTTAGTTAGAAGCAGAATTATAGTAACATAAAGTAATTAGCTAATGTAAGCTAACTTAATTTTAATTATGTACTATGTATTTTTGAAAATTTAAATATCAATTATAATATAAACCAAGTTTTACTAGTCTAAAACAAAGCAGATTAGGCAAATTTTATAGCTTTTTTAGTCCTGATTTAGCTCAAATCGTGTTATTTCCAAGTTTATATCAGACCTGATAGAGTTATTGGTAAAATTATAAGAGCTATTGGGCGTCTGATATTTTACCAATAGTTCCATTAGTTTCAATTTGAACCTAGAAATAACATGATTTAAGCTATTAATCAGTGTTATATTAGGACTAAAAAAATAACAATATTTGCCTAATATATTTTATTTAACTAGTGTTTAACTATATACTATTGAATGAAAATAAAAATATGAATTTAATTAAAAGTTAAGGCTATTTAGATAGCTAGTTAAGATATTAGCCATTTAGGTAAACCTATTCATGCATATTAAGTATTGGTTATATATTTAAATAAAACTTACTTATGTGATTTAAATTTAATTTAAACTTGTGATTTTATCACAAGAATTATTTTATATATAAGCAGCAAAACTTAATAATAATTTTGTGTATTCAATAAATTTAATCAATTATGAGGCGAAATACAACATTGCTTGGAAAAAGTATGTTGAAGCTGTTTTAATTGTTCATATTCTTTATATAATAATACGTGGGCTGGTAGAATTGGCGTTTAATTTTATAATAAATGTAAATATCGCCAAAATATGTGATATATATATTTGTACCTTTTATATTTTATTAATAGCTGACCTTATTTGATTCAATACTAATCCTAATCCTATGTCAGATGGTTGTTTATGTAAAGCGAATAGCACTGTTTTTTTTTTTTTTTAATGTTGTTACATTCGTCGATTTATCAACGTAAATTAAATTTTAGAATAAATAAAATTGTTTTAATTTTAGATCATTTTGATCGATGAAGATTCAAAAGTACACATAGTAAGACTTCATTCTGACATATAACATTTATATTGTATCGCGGATTGTTTAGTAACGGATATCACGGATTGTTGTTGAATACTCGTCACAATTATGGGATGTCGTGAGGGACGGCGGTAAGGGTATTGCTGATAAATATTCGTAGCTATGTGATGGTGTGGAGATTATTGGTGAATACTCGTCGCGGTACGCCAAGGAGTATTGCGTTGCATGTGAATAAGACGTCATAGATCCTCGAGTCAACCTGGACGAATTCGAAGTTGAAGTGGACCCTTGAGTATATGTCATCTCAGGCTGTTGTGTTACTATTTGTTGAATCGTCTGCTGTGGAGGAAATGACTTCATGGATTGTTGCTGAATATACGGCATCGCAGCTTGTTGAGTGACTGGTATTCTAGTATGTTGTTGACTCTTCTGCTGTGCAATAGATGATATTATTGATTTGTTTGGAACATACCGAGGAATAGTGGAAACATCTAATTGCTCTAGAGAATCTTCGATGCTTAGTTGTGAGTCAATTTGATGTTGGGGAATATATTGCTGAGAATTTGAATTCATAAAATGTTGATTGACAGGCATTCGATATGGTATTACAGGTGATGGGAATTCTGAGTCAATAAGGGACCTTATTTCGTAAATTAAAGCGTCGATTTCATCATTACGCATTGATTTATATATAGTCCAGAAGGCAAGATCTGGTTTATTAACTAAGATAGTGTAAAAATTTTCTATATCTTCAGATGAGTTTGATTCATTATTCTTTTTGTGGTTAACATATCCACGAGTAAAATATGCAAATGCATTATCATCATCAATTTCTATTGATTTGTTTAAATCATCAAGTGATGCATCATAATTTCCTTCCATAAGTTTAGCATAGCCAAGAATGCTAAGCGTGAATGAATGATCATTGATTCTATCTATTGATTTATTTAATACTTCAATTGACTTTCTATAATCACCCATTCGACAATGAATAAATCCTTCAATCATTAATATAAACGGATTATTTGGATTTAATTTTAATGCCTTTTCTACCTCCTTAAGTGATTTTTCATATCGTTCCATGTTACAATAAGTAAATGCACGGATAGTCAATGCGAATGGATAATTTGGTGTGATTTCTAATGAATTTTTTAAATCCAATATTGATTCTTCAAAACTTCCAACCCAACAATAAGTAAATGCACGAATAGCTAGTGCAAATGCATTATGTGGTTTCAGTTTTAATGCTTTATTTAAGTCAGTGAATGATTTATCAAATTCACCCACCCAGCAATAGGTAAATCCACGAACAGCCAATGTAAATGCATTATTTGAATCATGATATAATACTGCGTCTAAGTCGTTCATTGCATCTTCGTAATTACACATACAACAAAAAATAAATCCACGAATAGCCTTTGCATGTAAATTTTCTCCATCAATATCAAGTGCCTCGTTTATATTTTCGAGTGCTTTCTGATACTCTCCCATAAAGCAATAAGTTAATCCAAGTTGTATCAAAGCAAACGAATTATTACTCAAAATTTCTAATAACCGCATTATGTCATCAATTGAATCCTCATATTGACAGACTTTATGATAAATAAATCCGCGCTGTATTAATACCATTGCAGCCATTGTATTATCTTTATCTCGAAAATCTAGATCTTCTAAAATTTGAATTGCCTCATCATAGTTGCACTCCTTAATATGAACATTTGCGAGATTTTTCTTTTTTACAAAAGGAAAATCTTTTAGAAGTTCAAATTCGACTTCTTCTAAAGACATACGTTTGGTTGGAGATTTCTTACAACATCCTTCGATCACTTTTCTAAGTTTTGATGATCCATCTAGTTCCGAAAATAACTTTTTAAAATGATCTGAATCCTCAGTCTCCTTGAACTCTCTGACTTCACTGTCCTTCAATCCAGCATATAACCTGTATAATATGCAATAAATTACATACTTTGAATCTATTATATGCTTAAACTTTTAAAGATAAACTAAACGTACCCTTTTCCATTTGTTGCAAGTTCCCATACAACCAATCCGTAACTATAAATATCTGATATTTAAATGTTTATAAGTTAAATTAAAATACGTGTATATTAAGATTGCTTGCACCGAGATATACTAAAAGAAAATTCATTATCTCAACAATGAAAGTTCATTTTCCCGATACTTCAATATTTGTGTTCATCTTACCAGCATTATGATCAATGTTGATAGGATTAACATGAATTGTCGGGCTTTTAAAGATTTAGGAATGTGTAAAGTTCACCTGAGAGATGTGGTTGTTCTTTGTAATGTTTTCTCATTTCTTCGTCTTTACAGATACGCTCGGGTGCTGCAAAATGTACCGTTCCTAATTTGTCATAAACCAAAAATTCATCATTGCAATCTTGAAAACAAAATTTAATATTAAAAACCTAATCTCAATTAATTTACCACTAGTTTCCCTCCTCAAATCCAACTCTCGTTGTGCACGACTTACACCAAAACCCGAAATCTTCAATACCAAATATTTATTCACTAAAATATTATAAGATTTCAAATTCGGATGAATAATTCCATATTCGTGGCATTTCCGTAATCCACGCGAGATTTGAATAGCCATATCTGCTTTTGTGTCTTCACTAAGCTTGTGATTAATAAGGTATTTAGATAAGTTTCCATTATGTGCATATTCCATAATCAAACTAGTATTTCCATCTGGCGTTTTGGTTATACCATAAAAGCAAATTATATTTTCACATTGAATACCACGAAGTATCCTGAGTTCATTGGCTATTTTATCCACGATATTTTCATCGAAATGTTTGACTATGAAGGGAAATGAATATCAATATGCAGATTTTAAGTTTTTATATATAATAAACTATCAATCATGAGTTAATACCTGCGACATCAATTCCCTTGTACTTTTCAATTGTGATCTTACAAGAACCGGGTTTACTAATAACATTGCCACCTCTTGATATTTGCTCATAAGCAATAAAGATGCTATCTGTACTAAGTTGAGTCATATTAAAAATATTATATCGTATAGTGGAAGTTAAGTTTATATATTGAGTGTTTTGTAAAAATCTCTTTATCCTGCAAATCGCAAAAGTTTATTTCAAAAAAACGTTTGCAATTATTAATGATGTAAAATGCCTTGTGGAAGATTCCAAGTTTACACATGAGGAATTATTTTCACAATTTGGAAATAATTCCGTAAACAATTTAGTACAACACAATTACATCGCGTTGATCCAATTAAATCGAAAAGAGTAATAAAACAATTTCACACAATTTAACACAATTGACAAAATTTATTGAGATTAAAATTTGTGAAACGCACAAATTTGTTTTTTTGCGGCTATCTTAAGCAAGATGCTGTATCACAAAAATAATTGCTCTTTTGCTCATGCCACTGTTCTTAGCCGAGCTGAGCAATAATTAAATTACGAATCCGCCATGTTGTACCTTAAGTTGATAGTTGCCTAAAGTTGTAAGTTTAGGTACCTGAAGTTTCACTTGACCTAAATTAACCCTGAAGCAGTGTTTAATTACCTCGCACAAGATGCACATGCGCAAGTACTTTTTTATGTTCTACACGAAATCCCGAAATTCAAAATCTAGACTGTATATAATTCTGACATACATAATATCGACTAAGACGGAATATTGACAAGTCAAAATCTCGAATAAGACGGAATCTCGAATGATTAAAATTTCTAATTTGATTTGTAGTTTAGGGATTCTGTCCATTCAGAATTTTGATTTTGACATGTCAGTATTCTGTCTTGATTGGGATTACGTATGTTGGAATTCCGGAGTAGAACCATTTTTTTTATTGCAATTATATAGATTCGTAGAATTAAAATAAAAAAATTGATCCAAGAAATCTTCGATTAAAGTTTAAAAGGAGGAAACTTCATCCGATTTTACATTTTTCCGATATTCGAGGGTTTTTTTAAATTTTTACCTTTATTTATTATAATTCTACAAATGTATAAAAATTTTATTGAATTTAATAAAGTAGTTGGTTTAGGTATGTCCCGTGATTATCCGGATGATCGGGAATTTTCGTAAGGTGCCATGCGTTGCATTACCTGCGCAAATAAGTAAAGCCCGTAGACATCGTAGCACCCTCTATTATTACATTGTCCTCCAATAACACTAATAACTGATAACAGTATTATTGGTGTTATTGAGGGCAATGTTAATATATTTATCACCCAAACAAAAGGTAGAGGTAATACTAATTATCCATTTGCACTTCCTAAAAAGTCTAACCAATTTACGCAAATCGTAACACTAGAATAATCATTCACTTCGTTCCTGTGTATTTATAAATATACTGTCATTTTCACTTTTCTAATGCAAAAATATACATAACCTCTACGATAAAATAAGATTTGTATTTGAGATTTTATATTCAAATATATATATATATTGATGGATGAAGAAAATATATTTGCACCCTTCCATCCTGAGGAAGAATACACGACACGTATCAAGAATATTTTGACTGAATATCCAGATGGATCCCAAATCCTTAGAGAAATATTACAAAACTCTGATGATGCAAAAAGCTCCGAGCAAATATTCATTTTGGACCATAATACTTATCCCGACGAAAAATTATTTGATCCAAGACTTGGCAGGTATCAAGGGCCTGCTCTCTTATCTGCCAACAACTCTATTTTTCAAGAGAATGATTTTAAATCATTATTGAATTTGGCGAATAGCGCTAAAATGAACGATTGTGATAAAATAGGAGGTAATATATTGTTGTACTATTCGTATAATACATTAATATGATGAGAGATTAAAGAATTTATCTGAATTTTAGTCATGGGAATCGGGTTCAATTCAATTTTCCACATTGCTGATGTATGCTTCTTTATTTCCGGATCATCTTATGTTTTTATTGATCCTCATGGTCGTGGATATTGCAAAGCACCGCGTGAACAACGAGGTACTAAAACTGATTTTGTAAATCATAAACTGGCAATGAAGGTAACAACCCCTTTTACTTGTTATATTATTTATTTTGTTTGATACCTTCGACTCTGATTGATACTTATATTTTATGTTCATAGTATCCTGATCAATTCATGCCTTTCTTAACGGCCTTAAAAAACAATCCTCTAGATGAACCTTATAAAGGAACGATATTTCGATATCCGCTTCGAACCGATAAGGATGCTGTGGAGTCAAAGATCTCGACAAAAAAATATACAGTCGAACAAGTTGAAAAAATGTTTGACACCTTCTTCAAGGTTGACAATATCACATGTCTTTTATTCTTAAAATATATTGAAAAAATATCATTTTACGAGCTCAAAGAAGGTAGCAAAATTCCCGAACTTTTATATGAAATTGAACTGATTAATGCAGAAGAAATAAGAGAAACGAGGACATCGTTTGCTAAAAATATAAAGGACAAAAGGCAATCGGAAGTTAGTTATCAAATGAAGTTTTATCAAAAATCTACTAAAGATATAACAGAAATTAAAAGTGAATGGCAAGTTATCAATTATATAGCTAATATAAATGACGAAGAATATAAAAAATTCAACACAAATATCCGTGATTGTAAATTTATACCACTAGTTGGGCTAGCAGCACGAATTGATAATATATCAGAGAATAAAGGAAGGCTTCATTGCTTTCTTCCTTTGCCTGATATAGAGGAAGACTTTTCAATTTCGATTAATGGCTGCTTCGCCGTTAGCAAAAATAGAAGGAATTTGGAAAATTCAATTAATAAAGATTTGGTAATTATCGTATGTACCTGCGTATTATTGTTATTGATTGTATTTATAACGTTTATAAATTTTTTAGGCACCAGATGATCCATTACTCCGCAAAGGAGAATGGAATAAATATTTATTTGAAGATGTTATCCCAATAGCATGGAAAAAGTTTTTGTGCGAAATGAAAAATTACGTATCATTTGAGCAAATCTATACATTTTGGCCAATACCCCCAATACCCACGGAAGGGTCTTCCGAAAATTTGGATAAGAAACGTGGTCTGTGGGCCAAACTTTTGCAGAAGGTTGTCAATCAATTGGATGTTGATTTGAAAGTTTTTCGCGGTCCCTTAGATTATTTATCAATTAATAATGGATATTTTTTTGACGATGATAAGTTCAAAAAATCAAAATCACCAGATCTATTAAAATTGCTGGCTAAATTAAAATTTCCGGTTTTCGTAGATATTCCAAAATTAATCGTAGATAAGCTAAAAGAAAGTACTTTAAAAGATCAGATGAACTTCATTACACCTGAAAAAGTTTGCGATCTCCTTAAAGTTACGTACATGCATGGTGATAGTCATGTTAATATTAATGATACTGAAAAGTTGCTTCTATCTGAATATATTCTTGGAGTTAAAAATGTCAATAAACTATATGGACTTCCTCTTCTTCCAATTAAAAACAAAACCTTTACCACTTTTAAATCTCGAAGTAACAACGAATTTAATTACATTCTCAGTGAAGAAGAATACGAGCTTATTGATAAAAATTTTATGGAAAAAATTGTGGACAACACAATAGAGAAAGAAGTCTTATCAAAATTAAAGGATTTGGTAAAAGAAAATGAAGATATTAATTTACAAAATCTTCCAGAAATTGAATTTGCCGAAATTCTCAATAAAAATATAATGTCTTATAAAGTTGAAGATCCTGTAAGCATTCAAGAAATAAAAATTAAAAAGAATCAAATAGAATGGATATATAAGATTTGGGATCATTTACAAAAAAACAACAAAAATTTGACATATTTTTTGGATGTTTATCTTTTACCAATTGACACAAGTAAAAACGATGATTTTATTGTCTTGAGGAAATTAGGCGCAAAACAAAAATGCTTATGTCGTTCATCTCAAAAAATAATTGTAGATGGAAATATTGTTCAAATATTGTCTTTATTAGGTTCTGCATTTATAAATATTAATGAAAATATTTTAAACTATAAAGGGTAAGTATGAACTTTTAATTTGAACATAGCAAATTATATATATTCTAAATAATTCTAAATGTGCAAAATGTATTTTTAGACTCGAAAACTATGTAATTAAGATTGACGAAATCATTGCTGTCTTGTCATCTCTTGAAGAACATAGTTCATTCCCTTCAAATCTCGTTCAAGTTAATCTTACTTCTCATCAGAGACAAACATTAACTAGTTACCTTGGTTATTTGAAAAAGGAGTCTTGCTATTTAAAGGTTGTTCCTATAATCAAATATATTCCATTATTTACTGAAGTGAACAGTACAAATATTATAAATATTAATTCACTGATTGAATCTGGAAAAAATCATTTTTTACTCCCTAAAGAGGATGAACAATCGTATGGACACATTGTTTCGGATTCAGTATTTTTAGAAACTCACAGCTCTGAAGATCTTTGTTTTCTTCTTGAAGATGTATTTAAAGTTCAACGATTGAAACAAGAGGAATATTGGAATAATCATGTTATTTTGTATTTAAGTTTACAAGAGCCAATGATCGTGGATGAGATCGTAAAAGAGCTTTTTAAACGGTGGGAAATCATAAATTTAAAGGATGAACTTTCTAAAATAAAATTTGTCATGACATCTTCAGCTGATAAAAAAAAACAGAAGCCAACTGATATTTTTAAGCCAGATAAGCAATTAAAAGATTTATTTTATTCAGATGAACCATTTTTTCCAGATGATATATACAGAATGGATTTTCCTAAATTACTTGAATTGGGAATGAAAGAATTAATGACTATTGATGATATAGTCAACCGTATAACAATTTATATTTCAAACAATGTCAAAAATGAAACACGTGAAAAATCGCTTTTATTATTGAAATACATTGACAATAATTATCAAGATCTTAATAATAGCGATGATTCATACAAATTACGAAACAAGATAACAATAGAAAAATGGATACCAGTCACAAATCCAGATGAGCAATACTCATTCTCAAAGGCTTTAGATTGTCGAGATCGGCTACACGCAACATTTGCCAATCGTGAAATGCCAATAGTTGATTATATAATTATTAATAGTGATTTGCGCAAAATTTTTGGATGGAACGATTACCCATCAATAGATATTATGATAAATCAGTTATTTCAATTATTAAATGAATTTAATATGCCAAAAGAAAATTCTAATATGAAAGAAATAAATGACGATATCAATAAAATTTATGAACATTTAAATAATATAGTTGATAATCATATTGACTTTTTAAAGAATAAATTGTCAGATGCTAAATGGATTCTAAATGATGCGAAAATTTATTCAGCAAACGCGCTAGTATTTACTATTCCAAACTATTTAATGGGTTTTAAATGGAGTTTGGTTTCGAAACATAATAGTAACTATTACACTAAACTTCTTGAGAAACTTGGTGTTAAAAAAGAACCTGAGACTTCTGATTGTCTAGAAATACTCCAAAGTTTAAGCTTTAAAGATAATAATAAGTTCAATGTAATAAACATACTCGAATATTTATCACAAAAAAAAGAAATTTTAAAGGGATTATTAATTCCAAATATGCTTAATGAAATGATACCTCATGAAAGCATATTTTATAATGATATTAATGACTATAACAATAAGGAGTTAGTAAAAGAAAATGAAAATATTCTAACGTCTCCTGAAATTTCAAGCGAATTAGCAAAAAGACTAAAGATTAAAAATTTCAGTGAAAAGTTTGTATTAAATAAAATAAATACCTTTGATACCAAAATAACAGCAACATTTAAGAAAGCGCTTAAAGTATGTGTACAAATATTTTGCGTTTGTTTAATATAATTTATGACACTTCGCTTTATTAATACTATTATCCATTGATTAGGACTTTGATCGTGAAGAAATGGTATTTCGAGAATTTCTAAAAAACGCAGATGATGCAGGTGCAACCCAATTTTGCATCATTCTTGATGATAGTGATTACAGAGGCTCTAGATCGTTGATAAAAGAAGAAATGGACTGCTGGCAAGGACCTGCAGTATGGCTTTATAATAATAAATCATTTACTGAAGATGATTTCAAATCAATTATTAATGTTGGTTGTAATAAGAAGCCAGACAAAATTGGAAAAGATGGGCTTGGATTTATTTCGTGTTATAATTTAACAGATTTACCACAATTTATATCAAATGATAGAATTGTATTTTTTGACCCTCAAAGAAAATTTCTTCCTGACAATAAACATGGTAGTATATTCTATTTTGACGATTACAACAATGATGATAAAGGTCATGTTTTCAACATGTTTAAAAATCAGTTTGAACCATATTTAAACCTTAATGGAGATATATTTGACCTCAATTTTAATAATAAAGAATTTAAGGGAGCCTTGTTTAGATTACCACTCAGGGCAGCATCAAGTGAAATTTATGAAAAAGTATATAAAATTGAAAATATTATATCATTATTGGAAAGCATGAAGAACGACATAATTTCTGAGTTGATTTTTCTACGAAATGTAGAAACTATCAAGGTTTATAGAAAAAAAGGTCCGCAAGAGAATGCAGAAATATTGTGGAAAGTTGAAATTATAAAAAATGATCCAGGTCGCAAATTGGTTGGAAAAAAATTTCAAGCATTTCAAATTGATATACAATTCACTGAAGAAAATTATTCAAAAATTGATGAATGGCTTATATGTTCAGGAGAAAAGACCTCGGTTTCTAATGATGACCCTTCTCTGAGTGATACATGGGGTGGTGTAGCAACAACTATTTCAGAAACCTCCGCAAGTGGTCGAATTTATTCACATATTCCACTTGACGTCTTTACAAGACTTTCTATGAATTTGCATTCGAATAATTGGGCACTCTCCCCAGATCGGACTAGACTTGACCTAAATGATGCAAAGGCATCACAAAACAAGAACATTTTAGAAAAAGTTCTTCCTCAACTTCATGTAAAATTTTTTGAAGAATACATAAAAAGACATCAAAAAGCAGAATTTCAAGTTATTTCTGAATTTTGGCCAATTCCAAAAGATAATGATCCTAAAATATTACAATATGGGCAAAAAGTACTTAAACTTGTATCTCAAGGAAATCACAAAATATTTTGGTCGCCTTTTAAAGGTGGATCGTATATTGATTTTAGGCACTGCTGTTTTATAAATAAAGATACACCAATAAATATTGTCGACTTCCTTAATGAAAATGAATATCCTACAGTTTTACTAGACCCCGAACATTTAGAAGTATTTGAAAAGTTAGATATTAAACCTCAAAAAACTGATCCTCGACTTATAAGAAGTATTTTGAAAAGCGAGAGACTTTTATTGGACTCATCAAAATTGGACATTTCTTTCTCTCTATTAAACTATATTCTTGAAGATGAATGTTATGGAGAGCTTGAAGGCATCCCATTAGTTCCATTATTTGATGATAAATTTGGTGAATTTACTAGATGCAAAAACTACAGCATTGCAACGCAAGAAGAATTCAAATTATTTCCCAACGCTGGACCAGATCATTTTGTTTCTAGAGAAATATTAGAAAGAAGGGGTCTATATGAAAAATTCACTAATTATGATTTCAGAACAATTACAAATATTAGATATTTTACCTATATAACTATTAGAAACTTTTTATGTAAAGAATTAGAGGAGGTTTCTGAGTTAGAATGGGAACCTAATTCAAATTTAATACCTAATCAAGAATGGCTTAACAAAATAATGAAATGTATCTTAAATAGCACCGTAGATAGTACCTTGCAGCCGTTTGAATCATTCCCGTTAATTGAAGTATATGATCCAAATAATCATTATCAACATAAACTTGTTAGTTTAAAAGATGCAAAACATAGACCTTTACTAATCTGTTCTAATCTCGAAGATGATATAATTAAGGCGTTAACAAACATTGGAATTCGATTCACCACACGTCAATATAATAAGAAGCTTGAAGAATATATTTTAAAATTAGAGCCAGATAATATTTTATTTGTTATTGAAAAATATCGATGTTACGATAACCTTTTAAATAATAAGAAGTCTAAAAAGATTCTGAGCAAATACTTTTGTCAAGATTTATCTCTATTAAATAATGGAATTGACAAATTGAAAAAATTGCCTATATGGCCAACACATACTGTGAAATCTGGAAATATAATATATAGATCTATTTTAGATGAAAATACATATCTAATACCAAAACCATTTACATTTTATCCGCTAAACGAGTGCCATAATTTTTATTTTAATACAGAAAATCAACCAAATATGCGCAAACTACTAGAATCTTTATCTGCTAAAAAGCAAACCAAATTACCATATATAAAAGCTGTTATTGTTTCTGATATTTCAATTCCTCAGGATATGCGAGATGATTATTTACAATTTTTAATTGACATATTCTCTGATAGTGATAGCATTGATAATATTAAGGATTATATCAAAGAATTAAAAGTTATTCCAAATAAGGCGTTTGAACTTTGTTATGCAAAGGATTTATTTGATCAATATAATTCTCTCTTTAAATGTGTTTATGAAGATTCTAATCGATTTCCTCCAAACAAACTTCAAGATAATCAAAAATCCAAAGAAGCACTTAAGAAGATAGGTTTAAAACACAATGTTAATTCTGAAATATTTATTGAATGTGCAGAAGAAATTCAGGCCAATTTTTTGCGTGCAGAAAAAAATTTAATCAAGAGAAAGAAAATCAAAAATGCAGCAAATACTGCAGTTTCTTACTTTTATGAAAATCAATTAGTTTTAAATTTTTCAACAGATGAATGGAATAAATTATCAAAAATTAAATTTGTTCCAACCACAAAAAAAGTTTTGAAAGTTCCATACGAATATAATTGTAATAACAATAGTGAAAAACTGCAAAGTTTTGAAAACTTATGTCTTTCAAAACATAAAAATCTTGCATGGACGCAATTATCATTCTTTAAAAATGAACCAAATGAAAACGTTTTAAAAACTTATCCGAGTCTTGGTTTGCCTACAATCCCAACAATAATTAAGCATTTAGAAACAATTCAAAAAGAGATTACTAAATCAGTTGAATGGAAACGACACGATACTTTACTATTTAAGGCAATAAAAGATATCTATGAAGAATTGAACTCACGATGTATTAATACTAAAGATAAAGAAGAATTGCGTTTGTGCTTTCCCGAAGATATTCCACTAATTTTGAATAGTACAAATCCATTTGATTCAGAAAGTTGGGTTATTGCTTCACATCTTGATATGAATATTCAAAAAGACTATAGTCTAGAAAAAAGATCTGTTAATGAATATCTTAAAGTATATGAAAATCTTTTACCACTAGTTGGAGTAGGTTCAATGAAAATTCCCAATTGGCATAAAGATGTACCTGCTAAAAATAATTCTCAGCAATTGTCAGAGTCAATTATAAAATTTTTAGAAGCTGGAAATAAAACAATGTTCAACAATGTCATATTTCGGGTTAAAAATTGTGAATTTTATGCAAATTCATCAATATTAATTTGTGCAGCACCATATTTTCAAGAAATATTTTTCGAAACAGAAAGGATGAAATATGAACTAACATATGACGATATTGAGCCTAACTCATTCTGTATATTATTAAATTGGTTATATGGAATTCCCCTCCCAAAGGATATAAATGGTAATGAAAATACAAACTATAATAATAATGAATTTTTTCAAATATACGATGATCTTTTATTAGCATCTGAAAAGTTTAAACTCGAACAGCTTAAAAACTTGGTGGAATATGAATTAGCTGAATACGTTAAGGAAAATTTAGTTGATAGTGCTTTGATAGATGTTGAAAGGCTGGCAGAAAAATATAATTTAACTAGTCTTATAAAATATTGTGAACAAGTTGAACAAGAAATAGGTTCAATTGAACAATTTCCATCAAAAGTTATTAATAAAAAACATGCCGCGGAAATTGCTTCATGGGTTGATAGAAAGACTTATTCTAAACTAAATAATCCATATGAGTTTGAATTACTTCTTCGTGGAAGCAGTGACGGGTTTACTGTGAACTCATTTTGGAAATTATGCAATAGGAATAAAAATCTTGTTGTAGTTATGAAAATTAAAGGCACTGATGAGATTCTCGGTGGATATAATCCTAGTGGCTGGGATAAAACGCTTAATAATCAATATTTGAAATGCTATAATAGCTTTATTTTTTCATTGAAAAATGATACTATTAAAAATTCTGTTTTAAGTCGTGTAAAAGATCCAGCATATGCAATTTACAACGACTATTATTGCGGCCCAATTTTTGGTCTTGATCTTGTTATGAGCAATGATTTTGACAAATGCTCGTGTTCTAATTCAATATATGAAAAGCCAATTAGAGACTCATCCGCATATGAAAGTAATAATACATCAAATTTTTCAGTGGAAGAGTATGAAATATTTCAAATTTATGTAAAAATCTTGTGAGCCTGAAAGTACCATAAAAAATTATAACTCTTAGTTCTACGGTTAATTTTGACTATTTGAATCGTAGCGAAAACCCCATAATTCTAGGAAGTTTTTGACTGTAAACTCAGGATTTTACAGTAGGTCCCGTGAATGATCTGCAACCAGTGTAACCTTTGCAGAAACCTAGGGTTTTGAAAAACATATTTGATTATATATTTATACTTTATAGATAATTATATAATATAATATTAACAAATATATAGTAAATATATAATTAAAATCTTTTAATTATATTGTAAAAAAATTTTTTTATTCTATTAAGTATTATACAACTGTCATACAACATATTATTATTATATATTTATAATATAGCGTAGACAGTTAAATTTTCTTTATTTTCTTTATAATTTTATTTTCTTTTATATTATAATTTTATATATTTTATAATTTTATCAAAATGTCTATATTTTATTCCATATAGCAACTTACATTCATGTAACTTCGGGGCTAGTTTTCTCAAAATTTTACTAGTGAAATCACCCAAGTTGTTCTAGTAAACATCTCTTGTTAGAATACCTTTACGTATTAGCTTAGTAAAATTTTGTATAAATTGATGATTTTAAATCATTCTTAGATTTTTAATATGTAGTATATAATTTGTAATTTTGCTACATAGATTCTCATTTGTATATCATATGACTTATATCATAAATAGATTCTCTCTCTTACATTTTTTAAATAACTTTTTATAATTTATTTCTTTTGAGTTGTATTCTTTTTATATTAAACTTTATTTAGAAAAACTTAGTTTTTATTTCAAGTATTTTTTTTATTATTTATATATATATAGTTTTTAGTTTCTTGAGTAATAAATTAAACTCTAAGTATATTTATATGGACTAATTTTGGTTGTAACCCAAAATATAAAGGGTATTAGCCGATCGGTAGTGGTTAGGTTTTTATTTGACTGATCATCACGGCGAATATAAGAAATTAGAGCGTTTTGACTTACTATGAAATGCGTCATTTACTATTTGTTTTTTGACATTTCTTATTGTAAAATCATGTAAATAACGAATAACGTCTAACCCATCTTTTCACGTGAAGATGGGTTAGGCATAATCTATGTGATTTTAAAATAAGAAATGTAAAAAAACAAATAGTAAATGACGCATTTCATAGTAGGTCAAAATGCTCTAATTTCATAAATTCGCCGCAATGTATATCGTTAGTGATATGGGTCGATGAAAAAATCATGGGCCGAGGTCGATCCTAAAAAAGCTCGGGCCGGTCGACCGGGCCGAACTTTTTGGCTAATATAAATTTTTCTAATATCAAAAGTGTAGAAAGTAATCAGGTAGTTCCTGTCAAATTCTAGAATACTAAAATCATTTGGTTTTTATTCTTTTTGTCTTTAATTATAATACGTTAGTATTTTATGTTGATTAATTGTCTCTGCACCTAACATGTCATACATTTCCATTTCCTATATTAGTTGTTTGTTAATTTCTCGCCTAAATTAGCCAATTAATAAATGTCTATATACATTTTTATTAATGATTGGCTGATTTTCAGCCAATTTTTTAGCCAGTATAAGAGAATTGAATATAGCACTTCTTTTATCGACCGGCCCGGCCCACAAGGGTGCCAGCTGAGGGTCGACCCGCCCATCGGCCCGGCCGTCAGGCCGTATTACTATATGGGATCTTTACTACGTATCAAAACGACCCTCCGAGGCTATGTTGATTTTGTGAATAAAAATTAATATTTCTAGCCATCTAGTTATCCAATTTGAATAATTTTTTTTAATTTGTAGATTCTATTGAGATTTACAAAATAAAAAAAGTTTATTCAAATTGGATTGCTAGATGGCTGGCAATTTTAATTTTTATTCACAATATCAACATTGCCTCGGAGGGTCATTTTGATAGCAAAGATCCCATATATTGTATATCAACATCATATATATATCGCATAAATAAACGTAACAATAATCGATTTGTTGTTGATTTGATTGGTGAAAAAGTAATTGGTTAAAGGGTAGGGCATTTGGTTGGACACAAACTTTAATATATAATTTGTTAAAGTTTAGGGTTCTTTATATATACACTTCAATTGACTATCTAATATATAACAAAAAATCAATAATTTAGGTCAGTTTTTATAAGTTTTAGTGACCAAAAAAAGGTCCAATAAACAAAATTAGCGCAAATGTATAGCACATAATTCTGTAAAATATCGACTTGTATTGTTATAATACTATAGTCTTTTTGTAAAATATAGCAAAATAACAATATCATTGATTTAGTAATAAACTTTATGAAATATAGAATACTAGAATCTGCATGTGCTTCACTATGTGAGAAATATTATATCTATAGTAATAATAATAATATTTATATTTTTCCTGCTAACATTTTTTGTAGAAAAAGTTGTAAGTAAAAATCAACATTATGTCTAATGAATGAGATTCGAATGTGTAAATTAAACTAAATTATTTATTGTGAAATACAGTATATAATAAGGTTTGATTGTATACAAACTTGAATCTCATACATTAGTGATTGTAATCTTTGTTCTTCTATAGTATGACAATTACAGTAAGGTGCTTCTATTTATTAAATTAGTATTTAAAAAATTAATGGCTTTATTTCAGATTGTGGTGTATGAAAAACTTTCATATAAAGCAAAAAAGCTATAACACAAAAAAAATATTGCTAATCTCAAAGTAAAACTTTTGTTAGATGGTATTCAACAAATAAATAATGTCTAGTAAGCTTTTATATTTCAAGAATCATTGATTATATTATATATAGGTTTATTAAATACAAAAATATCACAATTACATACAACTTAGTATGTAAAATTAAACCTTATTGCAGTTGTTAGATAAAGTATAACACTAAGAAAGAAAGACCAAAACTATACGACTATGAAAATAATTTTCTATTATTATTGATTTAGAATTTAAAAATACAGCTTAAACATGTCAACCATATAATGATCCAATTCAAATACGAATAATAAGTTTATTTTCTAAATTAATCACCAAAAAGGTTAAAAATCATGTAAAGCCTATTAATGCAGAAGACAGATATAACAAAAACTGTATGGCTATAAAAATAAATTAGAATTTGCAAATACAGTTCAAATGTGTTAACCATATAATGATTTAATTCAAATAAACAATTTCTTAAGTTAGAGTTCTTTAGGCTTTTCAAAATAAAGTTCATTTTCTAAAATTTAATTTTCTAAATATTAGTCAAAAGGGTTAAATATAGTATAAAGCTTAGCTTATAGCCAAAAAGGTCAAACATCACATAACTTTCCTTATACTATAGTATATAGTATATAGTATATATGGTATCCATCACATTATTATCAACAGCCAATCAAATTGCAGAGGACAGACACACAACCAAATCTTAGTAGTATAGATTAGATGTATATTTTAACTTATAACAAAAGGCAAATAGTTCAAGATAATTATAGTTTATAGATAAATTTATTTAATAACTAATATGTATTAGGAATTATAATATATTATTAGAAGTTTAGTTTATGCAACCATGAATATATGATAATTACTGTGAGTATGCTGTGGTTACTACAAATACACAGAAGCTACCTTGAGTATACTGTAGTCATTATGATCAGTGTTTGCATTTAGACTAATTAAATAATATAGACAAAATATGACATAGCCATTTTTCAATTTGATATATACATTTGGACTATGTCTAAATTTTTTTAAAAATATGGATATAGTTCAAATGCAAACACTGTTTATAATCATGCTCTAAAAAATTATTATATATAAATTCTTGTTTTTATTCTTAGTTAAGGGAGAAGATACTTTTAAATTTTCTTTTCTAAATAAAGATAATATAAGTTCACATCTTTTTTATTATTAATGCCTAATAAATTATGAATATCTGAATATTTAATTTATTGCCCAATTTATATAATCCTTTTTAGTGACTTGAATCGGTTGGGCTATAATCGGTTAACCGACCCGAACTGAATAAATTTTGGGTAACCGGTTGAGAAAATTTTTATTCGGTTGACCCGGTACAACCGGTTGGGGGATCAATATGGTATGAAAAAATGTCAAAATGACATAGAGAGAGTAAAGAATCTGAAAAGTTCTGACAAGAAAATAAATAAACATAAAAGACAAGCAGGTCAAAACAAAAATTAGAGTAAAGCTCTGAGATAGTATAGTTATTAATCTTAACCGGTTGGTAATCGGTTGAGTGAAATAATTCAGTTCGGTTAACCGATTAAGAAAATTTTTCTCAGTTTAAATCAATAATCCTTTTAACATAAACCATTAGAGTTAAACCTAGCATAAAGGTACCAAGCTCTCCCTTACAATGGTTACAATAATAGACTATAGTAATAGTCTATATTTTCTAATTTACTGTTCTTTTTTTTTTTTTGTAAATATAAAATTACACCTACATTTATTGTACTGTTTTCATGTGAATATTGTTTGGATCTAAAATTTCAAATACTGGTCTAAACAAAGAATTATAATACAAGCACTATTTCCAACTTACATCTGAATAGGATGATATTTTTAAAGTTAGTGTGATCTTAAATACCTATACATATTACTATTACTAGCCCAGTGTATCTTGTTATTCATACTTTTATTATCAAGATAATTTTATACTAATTTTTTTATAAATTTCTTTTTTAAATGTTGATTTCTCTTTTGTAGAGAAATATATTTGAATTATTCATATAAAATTAGATAAAGTTTGAATAAATATATAGTCCTATATAGAGTTTGAAATCAGGTGGGCTATTCAGGCCAGGCTCATTTTGGTTTATAAAAGGTTTTAGTTATGTTTGCATTCATAAATTTGTAAATAAAACAGAACAGGCTTGAGTTAAAATCAGGCCAGGTTAGGCTTTATAAAAAAGCCTATAAACTTTAAAAAAACTATTAAATTGAGTCATAAGTCTAGCTCAGCTCAGAACCAAACTCAATTAAATATTTCATATTTGGGTTTAGTTTAAACTTGGTTTTGTGAAAACCCAACCTGACCCACTCAATTCTGGACCCTAGTTCTATGCTGTCTTGTCTAGAGTTATTATATTCATTTTAGTAATTAGTATTATAAATAATTCTT